TTTTTCATTATTAGAGACTTCATTGTGAAAAGAAGCATTGTAAAAATTTTGTCAAATTATGATTTTAAGTACTATGAAGGAGTATTTTTTCTTTTCATTTCTATACTTAGCTTAATATGATATTCATGCATTCTTATTTTAGCTTTGATGATGGCTTTTAATATATAGAATATTAGTATTCTATGATAAATATGTCAAAGGATATGACATTTCTAGAATGTTTGTTTGTGTTTCAAACACCATCTTATATAATCTTTTCACTCATGAGATCTAATCACTCATTGACACAAAGATGCTAGTGAAACTCAACTTTCTATTAATGAAACAAATGTTTACACAGTGAACTTTCAAAATTTTCTTAAGAAGTTATTTTCTATCTTTATATATATATATTGAGAAGTTATCATGAAACATATGGTATTTATCATCTAACGTACCTTTCATATAATAAATCTTTGTATATTTGACTAAATCTAAAATGTCATTGGTTTATTCAATCTAGTTAGAAGCTTACTTGATACTAGATTGAGATGATGATATAACATTTTAGACCTTGAAACTTTTAGAACTTTCACTTCTCATTAAGTCAGCTTAAGACTTAGTTTTAACAATAAATTCTTTATTATTAGTTTGTCAGGTCATTTCAAATTAAAATCGTGATTATCTTGAACTTGTAAAATAAAAATAAATGCATATCAATTTCACACAAATTAATACCATAATGGCTAGATTTGTGACAGCCGTCATTCAATCCATCCAATTCTACTAGTAGGTGATTATTGTTTATGATTGTATAATTTTTATGTCCAAGATGCGGTTCAACGGATTATATTCGCGGTTGTCACAACAGTTACAGCTAATTTATTGTCAACAATAATCACAACGTTATATATTCATATGTTTTGAAAAAGCAACTACATGACACCATGAGGAAGCAGATTGGAGCAATGAATATTCTTGATGTGATTTATTCAACTATCGGTCAAATGCACGCTAAAATAATTATATTTACGTTTAGATTAACCTCTACTTTAATTCTAACTAACTAAAGATGGTTACACACAAGCTCTTTGGCAGATTCTTCAATCATTGCTCAATTGATTATGAACATGTAAATCATCAACATAGAGTCAAGAGGTTTTGTGAATGTATATAACAAGAGTTGTGAAATGAACTAAAATATTGCTTAAGTAGTTAAATATATTGAGCTGGCATATGTTATGTATTACTTTACAATGATGTAAAAAATAGAGATGAAACAGATATAGATTTTGATATGAGTCATAATTGATTTATCTATTTAACAAACCTCAACTCAAAACACAGTCTTTATAATAATTGTATTCATTCATACTCTTGTCAATAAAAAAAGATTTATTCAAGATTTTGGGCCTCAAGTCTTTTTGGACAAAAGGTAAAGCGTAGTAGATAAACAAATCAAAATGCAAATTCAACTCAAATAAAAATTGATAATTATAAGTGAGAGAGAGATCGAAGGCTTCTTGTACTAACAAGAAAAACATTTCCATTTTTAGATTGTGTTGAGAGAATGATTGCCTATTATGTGATTTATGATGTAACACAAGAAGTTTTGATAAAGATGGAACATGAAGAGCATGAATAAGAGTTGCATATTATTGTTGGAGAGTTTCAAATATTCACACTAAACAATAGAGATCTACTAGAATTGTTCACTAGTAAATCATCAAATGAGATGAATATGACTCTTGCAAGGTTTGAATTGTGGGCTGATTCATGCATTCTTGAAGATCATGATATTGATACATATTATGGTGATGACATTGCGTTGATCTAAGAATAAAAGAAATCTTTTTCATATATTGAAATTCAAGCTTTTGTGAGTAAGTTTGAGTGAAATGTTGCTATGGAGATAGATGGAATTGTTTATAACCTCTAACACCTAGAAGTTAGTGAAATTACCAAAGAATCAAACTTTGATTGATTGCGACTGGTTGTAGAAACTGAAGTACAGTCAAACAGATGACAAAATGGGTATTTTTAAAGCCATGTTCTTGGTCAGAGTTTTCATACAAGAGATTAGTGTGAATTACAATGAAGTTTTTTTTTTTGTAGCAAAATATGCTATGATTTATCTAGTATGTGCACTTATTGCAATATTTAAATATTTTAGAGTATCACATGTATCTCGTTATAACATTTGTCTTTAAATCTTTTGAGAAAAAAGTTTACATGAGATATCCAATGGGCTTTTTGAAGAAAGATCAAGAGAATCTAGTCTGTTTATGAGCTTAATTCGATTCATATAATAACCAGATATCATTATATAGAATGAAACATGTTCATAGACAATGAAATGCAAGATTTGATGAGTTCATGAAAACACAAGGTTTTTTCCAAACGTGTATGATTCATATCTGAATATGAAAACATTGAATAATGAGATATTTAATTTTATTATTCTGGTATTTTACGTGGATGACATGCTCTTCCTGGCAAAAAATCAATGCAACGTTGACAAAAGCAAAAACCAATAAAAGTTTGCAATTAAAATGAAGGATTTAGCTAAATTTTAGAGGATATTAGAAGTAGATTTTCATAAAAATTTGATGAAAATTAAACTATGATAAGTAAAATAATTACATTCAACATGTGCTTGACATTTTTTATACGATAGATTCTTGAGCACTATTGATTTCTTTGCATATTTCAGTGTCCAAATTATGTCATTGAGAAGTAAGATGTCATTGATTCTCTATGACAAAGTTGTGTAGAGTCTCATGTATTTGAAGACATGCACAAGATTTGATATTGCTTTAGTGATGGGCAAGTTTAAAAAAAATACATGTGAAATCTGGAAACGATGCATTGAAAAGATATAATGTGGATTCTGAGTTACTTGAAGATTACTAAGCATTATGATTTATTGTTTTATTAAACAATGTCAAATTCTTCATAGACTACATTGATGCTGACTATGGACAAAAAATATTTATAATTAATTATGTGTTTAAATTTGACGATGGATGCATTAGTTATAGATATATTTTGCTCAATTTGCAGCAAAAGTTGAATATCCAAGTGCACCAGAAGCATCAAAACAAACTAATTGATTGAATAAACTTAAAATTGAAAAGAAATTGAAACATTATTAAATCAGTTATGATTGTGATAGTCAAAATGCATAACATCTTGCCGCATATCAAATGATGGATAGCAATGTGCAACACATTGACATCATGTATCATTTTATCAGATATGCATGTTTTAATAAAATGATCAAGCTAATCATGTTTGACATTAAGTTTAATCGTGGTGATGCATTGATCACAATTAATTGTTAAGTTTTTAAGATAGATTACACTACTATGAAGATATCACATGAGGAGCACAAGTTGAAAATATTAGCAATATTTGTTAATTTCATATATTTTTATTCTTTCATGTTTTGTCTACGACTTATTTTTAGTTAGTTCCAGTTAAAAAAAAAAAACCTTTGTTAATTTCTTCTAGCACTTCTCGCAGTACAATTATATAGGTTATGGAATTTTATGTTATCTTAACATGAGTTAAGGGGGTATTGTTAGGTAGGCTAATGCATTAAGATTTGTCAATGGTTACCACTAAGAGTACGAAAATTGCTAGTTCTTTGGAACATTGTACCTTGTTTGTTAGAATGTTCACTTCCTGTAAACATTGTTTTGGTTTATTGAAAGTGATAACAATTTTTTTTTCAATGGATGAGAAAACTAAAATCTTAATTGTTCATTACAAACAAAAAGTACAAGAAGGTAATGAAGAGCTATCATTCATGAAACATACGTTCAATGATTTTTAATGATATTTGGACATGAATATTCATGAGAAGGAATAGGTTTAAAACTTAATGTTTTAGTAAACCTTCATTAGAGATTACATCTACATGCATAACTTAGTGAAAATCTTTAGAAATAATGTTTGAAAATGAAGTTTTGTTTAATATATTTGATTATGTTAATTTGAGACTTTTTAATAATTTGCATGTATATATTTTATATTGAAAAGTTATCAATCGTGAAAATAAGTTTTGTATTGTAAATTGATTAGTTAGATTTTAAGTATAGTTCAATAATATTGGTTGCATTTTAATCACAATATGAAGATCTAAACATAGTGTACATAATCCACATGCTTATTTTTCATATTACGTCTCCATGTATAATGATATACATGGCAATTTGTTCAGGATTATTGATTCCTACAATATTTGAATGCGATTCATGCTACACAACTTACCATGAAGATTTATGTGCTACATTGACTAAAGATTCCTTATCAGGCTTTGCAATCATTTATTGAATAGTTTGTTTACGGGGATTCCATGTCTACATAATACTTTAAGATGGAACTGTCCGAGTAGGGGTATCAGGCATGCTATCAGCATTGTTACATTGACAAAGCCTTTCCGCGTCTTTGGAGAATCTCGAGAGAATCGAGTGTGATCGAAGAAACAGATGAAATGTTTTTAAGCGCTACCGCAATAGGCAGTAATTTCCTCGCGCGTTCCCCCCAAATGAAGAGTCGTTCTAACATGGGGCTCGGATTGTCAAGTGGGAATTTCAGTGTCCCGGATATATGGAGCACATTAGGCGTCCTGTAAAATAGCGCAGTAGATAAAATGTACCGGCTGATGAATCGAGGATGAATACGAACCTGAGGACGGTGTTCTTCGGACATCACCGATGAATGCACAGCGAATCTACAAATCTAGTTTTATTGGCTTAAATGCTTATCCCCCAGGTCTGTGCTTATGTCCAATCAACACGTGGATGCCACACAATTGGCACAAGGCGCTGTGGCCCTGCGTACCACTTCTTTTCCGAGTCCTTGTTAGCGCGCAAGTCCAATGAATGAGCTCCACGTGTTCAGTCGCGGATCTTGTGAGCATTGATGCCCATGACAGACTCAGCCTGGCCACGAATTGCCGTCAGCGCGAGCACGAGGACGAGGAGCGGCGCCCGCACTTCCACCACTCCGCAGTCGGAGCTCTGTGAAGGAAATCTCCCTCGCACTGTTCCGCTCGAGGAACTTCGGGGCTGCGCGGCGCGGACGACGGTCGAGGCTAGACTAGAGTGGACTGCGCTGGTCGGTTCGAGTCGAGTCGAGGCCCCTGGCCGCGCCTGCGAGACGTGGAGCAATTTCAAGCGAATTGCGGTGTTTAAAGAAGGAGAGACTGCTGCAGGGCATTCGTCCGAACTCTCTCGGCTCGTGCTCGTGCTCGTTTTTGAGACCGTCTCGCAGGGCAGGGCAGGGCAGGGCAGGCAGGGCATTGCGGAGAACGTAGGGCAAGGAGGAGCAGGAGGGTTTGAGTGTGCACGGAGGCGTATGGTGGTTGTGAAGGTTTGGATTCCGCAAGGCTGAAGCCGAAGATTGTCGTGGTTTTGGACTGCGGCCTCCGGAGGCAGGCAAGCAGGTATGGTCGCCGCGGCACTTGTGAGTGTGCATAGTCTTACGGACTGTGCACTGAGTAGATCTGCTGGCTCGTCTTCGTGTTCACCTCTTCTATTCAGATTAGCTAGCAGCCGTGTGGCTTTGGGAGGAAGATTGCGAGGCGGAAGAGGAGGCGTCGAACCGCTTGGTTTTAGGCATGGAATTGTTCAACCTCTAGAATACAGGGGTTTAGGGAGATATGGGCAGAGGATGAGCCGTGCCGCGCGGTCGAGACAGTCTAGTGAGGAGACGACTCTCGTTACCGCGAATTTGGCGAGAGAAGCGCTCGAGAGCGGGAATGGGAATGGGAGTGGTAAGAGCAGCAACGGTATCGCGTATCAGTCATTCGAAAGGGTGGTCCCCCCGCCCACCAACGGGGCAGCAAAAGTCAATTCCAATGGCGCGGTTAAGATTAACAGCAATGGAGCGGCATCACCCAGGAATGGTGTGCTTGTTGCAGAGCCAGTTGTTAGCGCGAATCCCTCAAATGGTTCCGCCGTGAAAGCTCCACAAGACGTCAGCTCGAGTCGCCTCTCTGGCAAGGTAGAAGACATCGGGCAAGAGGACCCCTGGTTCAAGCAAGGAGATCGTCAAAATGTGAAGGTAAACTGCTGAGCCACATGTCCATTGTCGTCACGTTTCAATGGAGAGCTTGCGAACTTCCAAACCTTATTCTACAGCTGTGCTTGCCCTGCACGGCAATACCATTAGTTAAATCCTGCTGCTGGAGTAGTCCCTCACCCAAGAGCTGGTTAGCTGGCCCAAGGTTATTTCTGGCGAATTTCGTGTACTTCAGTAAGTGTCTAATTGCTGAAATCTTGTTGTTTGGTTTGTCAAATAAAAAAAATCCTGCAGGTTTCCGTAGCTCCAGGTGGCAGGTGGAACAGATTCAAAACGTACTCTACTATTCAGAGGACTCTTGAGATTTGGGGCTTTGTGGTCGCATTTCTGTTCAAGTGGTGGCTCAACAACCAAAAATTCATGTACAGAGGTGTGTTACCTTTCGGGACTGCTGGTTTGATGTCGAAACAAGCCAAAAACAAGACGTTGCATTAACTTCAGTGTGTAGGCTGATATGCCCGTGTGATGAGGGCTGGATTTGCAAATCTGGTTCAATGATGCAAACAACAGTTTTTTTTTTTATAAAAGTATCAAGTTTGAAAGCTTTCAACTCCACGCAGAGACATTGAACTATTCCGAGTGAAACTTACGTCTATTTTCATCTTCGAGGATGTAAAGTTGAACATGTATACCCAGTGAGGAAGTAGACCCACTAGTCTGCCTCTGGTCCGCAGCTTACATTATTCTGAATTTGTACCTGCCACTCTCTGGACCACGTTGAACTATACTTTATCCCGCATCAATCTTAGTCTTCAATGTGCATGAGATAATCCCACAATTGATAAAGATCATAGGGTGACAGTGAAACAAGCAAGTCTGCCGTTTTTGCATCGCAGATCTTCAACTTCCTGCCAACCATCTTCCCTCCAAGATTTTCTCTTTTTATTAGAGATTTTCCGTGCATGCTCACTATATTATTTCCGCAAGTTCTTTATTTTGGAACTTTCCTTCGTTGATCTCCGACTTGTCAAATTTCTGAAGATTACCTAGAACGCGGGTTGGGCCTTTGATTGGCAAGCAAATGCTAATTGGTCTGTCAATGTTCGCATTTTTCTCATCGTCGGGTGTGTTCTGCTGGCAGGAGGGAAGACGGAAGAGGAAGTGAAAAAAAAACGTAGAGCTCTGGCCAAGTGGTTAAAGGAGGGTCTCCTAAGGCTAGGACCGACCTTTATCAAGATTGGGCAGCAGTTTTCTACCCGTGTCGATATCCTGCCGCAGGAGTATGTGGACCAGCTGGCGGAATTGCAGGTAAACATGGTTTGAAATCCATGCCCACGAGGCTAGGACTAATCTTATTTAACTAATCATGCGAATTCATAATATATAAACGTTTCGGGAGTTGATACTGAATGATTAATAATTTGCTGTCGGTGTCACGTCTACTAAGACCAGAAATATTTCACAGCCGGGCCACCACTTTGGCTCAAGCGTTTTTCTTGCTTCCCGTAATAAGGCAAACTGTGACCAGATGACACGGTTATATCTTCAGAGTTCGTGGACTGTTGTCCTCTAACTTACCTTGTCGTCATACTTGTTGACTATTTGAATTACAGGATCAAGTACCTCCGTTCGATTCTGAAACAGCATTGAAGATTGTGGAAGAGGAGCTAGGCCCAGTCGACCAAGTATTCGAAAGATTTGACCGCGACCCTATCGCGGCAGCCAGTTTAGGTCAGCTTCTCATCCTGTGGAAGCAAGGCTTGGTCCCCAGCGAGGACTTAGATCCTTACGTCCTCGCTAGTGACCTGGAAATTGAAGAATACTGAAGAACAATGCCTCCAGGAACTGCTTAAAGAAAGTTTTGCCTTCAAGCCGATTGTCTACTTGACTATGATCAGGCGGATTTCGTACCCGAACATAAGCAAACCTCGCTGACCGTATTTTCCAGTTTCGATTCATTGGCAGTTCTAAGAAAGTTTTTGGTTTCTATGATAGATCAATGTTTGGTGTCAAGATGTTAATTAGCACAGTGTTTCAGCAGCCCTTTCGAAGCAATGCCTGCATCATCACCTACACTTTTGACGCACAATCTGACGCTCCTTTTGTCTAGCAAAAGAGTTACCATGAGGGTCCAAAGTCTGGGAGGTTTCCATATCAACATTGGTTTAGACGGAGTCTTCAGCCCCTCTTGACTAACAGTTGGTTTTTAAAATTTCAATAATTTCAGGACAAGTGCATCGCGCTCGCCTGAGAGGTGAAGAGGTTGTTGTGAAAGTTCAGCGTCCTGGGTTGAAAGACCTCTTCGACATAGATCTGAAGAATCTTCGGGTGAGAAGTTTCTCGCCTATAGTGAAACACGGTGATGTACACAAAGACGGTTGTGTTAGAGTGGAACGGTAGAACACTTTCAGATGTCAAATCGTTCCGTCACATTGCAAACTTTTGGCCGATTTTTTTATACCGCAATCCACACATTTTGGAGCAATTCAACTTACGATGTCGCCCTTGTTTGGAGATATGCCGGATTGAAACGTCCAAAGATTCTGGCGACTATGCACTTGGATAAATCACTCATGATCGCAGGCTACACGTTTTTGTTGACAGGTTATCGCCGAGAATTTGCAAAAGATCGATCCGAAGTCAGACGGCGCTAAAAGAGATTGGGTCGCCATTTATGACGAATGTGCAGCAGTTCTGTATGAGGTGCGTGTTTTTCATGTTCACCTCTCTAGAAGGATTATATGAAGATGCGAGGCTATCAGCACAACAAGTATGGTGCTCATCGTGACCTTAGGAATAAATTCCTTCCTAGCTAAGCCTTTTTTTTACTATGTACGTGGCCATTCTCTTTGTAGCCTCTGCCTCAACCTTTCAGTATGTCGTCGTCTTTTGCTGCGAGCACCTCTCAGCAAGATGTCGGACCTAAGTTTTGCAGGCCAGGACAAGCGTGCCCAAAGAGTACCTCATCTCGCTTACATACTTGTAGAGATTCAAAACATGTAAGAGAAAATTTTGCTTACTATTGTTTCATGCTTTGTTGTGGTTGTTCAGGAAATTGACTATTGCAAAGAAGCTGAGAATTCCCAACTATTTGCAAATAATTTTAAGGACCTGGATTACGTCAAAGTGCCAAGGATTTACTGGGAATTAACGACCCCACAGGTGATGTTTATATGATCAATGTTGGATGCATTAATATCTGTTGTTAATTCTGTTCCCACCGTTCCGAGCTAAAGGCTTTGGTAACTTTGAATGCGTTTGTAAAATCTATTAATACTCTGAGGTTGTGTGGTTCATCGGTTGGTATACTGAAAGTGCGCAACAATGTTTACCCAGGTTCTAACCATGGAGTACGTTCCTGGGATCAAGATCAATCGTATTGCTGCCTTAGACCAATTAGGAGTTGACCGTCAAAGGTAATGGCACAGCCTCCAGCACAGCCTCTCCTTATATTATGTGCAATCTTGTCTAAATATACTGCTGCGTGCGATATCAAACAGGAATTTAACCTAAATACTAAGTCCCTTGATTGACTTGGGCATTTAAGACCCTGGGAGGACTAACACATCTTTTTCCACCATGTAAAGGCTGGCAAGGTACGCAGTAGAGTCTTATCTGGAGCAAATTCTTCGTCATGGGTTCTTTCACGCAGATCCTGTACGTTCTCTTCCTTATGACCCGTGTTGGATATCTTAGTTATTAAACACTTGTACTAGGCTGCTTGTTTATTGTGAGTATTACGATGTCTTGTCCAGGCCATCTTGAAAATGACCATAATGTTTGGCTGAATTTGACTTACCCATCATGTTACAATTTGTTGCAGCATCCAGGTAACATTGCTGTGGACGATACAAATGGTGGCCGCCTGATCTTTTACGATTTTGGCATGATGGGCAGGTATGCTTACAAGTTGTTTTCTTTTTGCTTGCCTATGCTGGTACGAAAGTGCGTTTAGGATCACATTTTTAGTGTTGATCACTCAAGCCTGCAAGTTGCAGGCTGAAAACACGTGCTGAACTAACTGTTGTAATTTTCGTCTCTTGCAGTATCAGCCCAAATATAAGAGAAGGACTCTTGGAAGCATTCTACGGAGTGTATGAGAAAGATCCCGACAAGGTACGCGATTATTAAAATTCGGATCGTTATTTGGTCTAGGTTCTTATTCCTGCTGTGATTTTTTGAGCCCGTTATAATTAGATTCTCGAGCAAGCTTGCAAACATCTTGGGCATTATTGGTACTGAAAATGTGGTGGTTGATAGAAGCTGTATAGTTGACTTTCACTTCACTACGCTGGTTAGTTTTTGAGCAGCAATTATTTTGCGTTCACTTGTGTTTGACATCTTTTGTGAAAGTGCAGGTGCTTCAAGCTATGGTTCAGATGGGTGTGTTGGTGCCCACTGGAGACATGACTGCCATCCGCCGTACTGCTCAGTTCTTTCTAAACAGGTATGAAGTTGTGAAGTATATGCGCACCTCGGTTTTGTTTAATCTGCCAGCATTAATGCCTCTCACAATGGATCCAAATACATGTTAACAAAATCAGTTAACATGATTCTGTTCTTTTTTGTTACTCGTGTAGTTTCGAAGAGCGTCTGGCAGCTCAGCGTAAAGAAAAGGAGGAGAGAGAAAAAGATGAGCGTGACATTGCATTAGGTTTTAAGCCACAACTGACAAAGGCGGAAAGAGAGGAGAAGAAGAAACTCCGACTGGCGGCAATCGGTATAGTGCTCAAGCTACTAAACGCCGTTAGCTTACTCAACAATGGTTTCCATAGATGACTTCTATAGGACGTACAAAGAGAGGTAGCTGTTGTTGGCTCTTAAATAGATTTTGTTGGTACTTGTATGGTCTAGCTAGATCACCCATTATTTTGTCTTGAGGCTTTGCAGGCGCGCACTATTATCTCATTTTCAGTTGAGATTGACTAGTTTTACTTTAGGACAAAGACTGTCAAGAGAAGCTGAACTCATTATTTTTACTTTGCTACAGGTGAGGATCTGTTATCAATAGCTGTGGATCAGCCTTTTCGCTTTCCTGCCACATTCACATTTGTGGTCCGAGCTTTTTCAGGTGCATATTACAATGTTTGTGGTTTTACATATTTCGTTTTGTTTTCCTCTGAAGCCCAAAGCAGGACCCAAGCAAAGGCTCCGAAGGTCAAGCCGGGACTAGAAACCGTGTATGAGATAGAGATACTTGTGAAGAGTGCGATGCTGACCAGGAATCATTTGTCTTTATTTCGATTGCAGTACTCGATGGTATTGGTAAAGGATTGGATCCTCGATTCGACATTTCAGAAATTGCCAAACCGTAAGTTCTTAGTATTTCTGCGTAGCAGCAAATTGAATCAGGATGATTTGTCATGTTGTGCATGTCGAATTTCAAGTGATTGGAGGCCGTACCAATGCTGTGCGCTACTTGGCAAATGCGACTTGCATAGCGCATCGCGAATGTTAATCTTAGTAAGATGGGTATACTCAGTAGATTAGAGTTGTAAGCCTTTCTGACCCGGTATTTTCACTCACGGGCGTTACAGATATGCACTAGAGCTCTTGAAATTCAGGGAAGCTGGTGTGGAGGTGGTTCTCAAGGTAAGAGTTCATCATTTTCAACAGCCGGAGAAACTTGTCCTTTAACTAGTCGGTGCCTCCGTAGATGTAGTGGAGAAAATTTTCTGAGTTTTGTGCACGGTTGGAGATTGCCTTTATCTGAAACATGTCTTTGGGCTTCTTGTCAATTTACAGGACTTCAGAAAACGCTGGGATAGGCAGGCCCGGGCATTCGCTAACGTCTTCAGGCAAGCTGACCGGGTGGAGAAAATTGCCGATGTGATCCAAAGGCTGGTAAGAAGGCCGGTCGAATCAACCGTAATTCTTCGTGCAACTTCAAGGAAATTGTTTATGGAGTTTATTTTTTAACTGGAAGAAAATGTGGAAGACATCTGTGATGAATACTGCTACATGGCAGCCAGCGTGACACGTTTTATTTGCTACAGGAACAAGGTGACTTGAAACTTCGAGTAAGGACCTTGGAGTCAGAGAGGGCATTCAAACGAGTTGCTGTTGTACAACAATCCATCGGACAGGTATTGTTTGCAACTAGAAGGCCATGTTGAGAATATTCTTTTTCACTCAGTACCATCACCTCGTCGTAGCTCTGAAGGTCTTCCGATTGCATCTGTGTCTCTATGGAGAACTACAACCTTGGTCGGTTTCATTGTCTGGACAAAAGCCGAGTTTGCAAGTTCTGACCAATTGAAACCGTGTTTTTCTAACTTCAGTCCGGTTTTTTTTCCAGGCCATCCTTGCCGGAACTACTCTCAATCTTGCCACAATGCTCTATATAAATTCATTCAGGGTACGTAGTTTTTGCCAGAAAATTCTTAATTGTACCTACTATATCCTGTACAATGTAGTCATTGGTGGCCATATCATTTTGGCAACGTCAATCTGGAACTTGAAGGTAAACTCTACACTGTATCATTGCTGTGTTCAAATTGAGTGCAAGGAGTTCTGAATGCCGTATGGTTGTTGTTTATAATGCAGGTACCTGCCCTTGCCGGGTTCAGCGTCAGTGCATTATTCGGTATGCAGGTTCTTTTTGGACTATTGAAGATTAAGAAACTGGACAAGCAAGAAAAGCTCATCACCGGAACTGCGTAGAAATAGTTACAATTCGAAACTCCATCACCCTTGTACTATTTGCCTTGAGATAGTCTTATGATCACGTGCTGCCATGAGTCGTCTGATTCTGGTCAGCCACCTCGGAATCAGCCAGCCTAGAAATTTTTTTGATAACAGTACCGGGTTTGCAGTTGTAGAACCTCATAGTCTGCGAACCCTTGTAACTTTAGCCAGGACAAATACAAATATAATACATATAGTAGTAGCATATTCTTTCACATAACTGCCTCAGCGCACCCGTTTTATAAATGGCTGTAGACAGGTTGTATCTTGGCCGGAAATCTTGTCTACTTCGTAAGTTCTGTGTCTTCATCTCGATTTTATGATTTCATGTCTCAAAAGTTCATAGTATTTATGACTGATGTTGTATATGTCGTCATTTCTTAGTATTTCATGCGAAGGCCACTTTCATTGGCTCTTCTTGTTGCTAGTCGTTTGAAGCCCATTTGTCAACACTCTTTTATTGGAAGTTCTCTTACAGGCTCGCACCATACTCTCATCTACATTCCGCGATAGTGGTCGTGTCGTCGTCGTCGATGTCATCTCTCATGGTATCTTCAATCATATATGGCTTTCCGCCGCGATGTTTTTTTTTCCTCTCGGTCTAGAGCGCCGATCTTGACTTTTGCAACTAACTCGAAACTACAAATGGGCTGAGTTTTGGATGTGCGAATCTAACCGATAGGAAATCAAGTAACGATTTGCAAAAGGAAAATAAAAACTTGTAAAGTGAAGTCATCGTTGTCAAAATATGCAAAACGATCAAACTTGCCAGACTTGAAGTAAAGCAATTACATGAGGAATCGACCTTTCTACCGGCAAACCGATTAACCAACTGATGAGTCCGCTGACGGATATCTCGTGAAGCAGAGCGGATAACTTCCTACATACCATATACTTTGCTTTGTGTGGAGAAGAGCAGAGGAACTTCTGGAAACATGCCAACAATCCTAGAAATTTTTTCAACCAACCGTGAAAGAGAGAATGCTAACGTTTCTTGGGGCAAAAAGCAGAGAGACAACTCATCCCATCCTTTGCGCCCAGTTGTGAAAGATATAATTAAATCACAGCACAAACACCGTCCTTGTCTTACACTGGGCTCAAGCGCACCGCGATTCCAGCTCCTCGAATGGTTGCAAAGAATTCTCGACCAGCACGAAAAGTGAAATCCATCTATATCACATGGAGATCACGTGATTTCATTTTCCCTTGTCTTCAGTACGTGACTTCAGTTTTCACCGGAGCTGCTGTGCTGAAAGAACTAGGATCCGTAAAACTATAAGCACACAAACAAGTTGTCCGATCTGCACCCTATATGCTGATTTCAGAGAGAGCAAAATTCTGATACACTCTCTGACCTCAACAGCAAACATCTCTCTCTCCCTCTCTCTAGGCTCCATGAACCAAAATGTCATAATCGCATCGTGCGGATATATGGGTGAGGAGGATATACCTTCTTTGGTCAAGACGAGATTTATTCGTCTTATCTGCGCGCGGTCAGGATTGGGACCAGGAGAAGAATGACAGATCCACAGCCATGTCTAGTAGGGCAAGAAGGGGCGTGACTTGCAATGCAAAGTGAGGCTCCAGGTGCAGGAACCACTCCATTCCACCGAAGATTGCAAGGGAGGTCATTGCCAAGCTTCTTGCTAGAGGTTTGCAGCTCCTCCTGCCCTCTCTCATTCTTTCGCAGCAAACTGGTTTCATTAAGCGCAGAAATATGTTGGAGAACATTCTTACCCTTTGGCTGGCTCAAGATGCAGCTAAGATGAGCAAATGCAGAGGCATGTTTGTGAAACTAGATTTTGAAAAAGCTTATGATAGATTTGAACATGCGTTACCTCTGGAATACCATGGGTAAGTGTGGGCTAGGGGAACATTTCATCAACCTAGTGAAGGGTGTCATGCTCGGAGCCTCTACTTCGGTGTATCTCAATGGGGCAAAAACTTTTGGGTTTTCGGTCGAAAGAGGAGTTCGGCAGGAATGCCCTCTTGCTCCTCTCCTGTTTTTTTTTTTTTTGCACTTGCCACTCAACCTCTTATGACATAGATGAAGCACAACTTCCAGCTTTGGCAACTCAAAGGTTTCAAAGTTGGAGATTCGGTTTTTCTTGACTACTCATTGTTTGCCGATGATATGGAAGTCTTCTCAGATGAGTTGTTCACTTTCTTCCAGGAACTAAGATTTGTGTTGGCCAAATATGAGATCAGTAGTGATGCAAGGTTAAATCTTACCAAGTCTTCCATCCTTTATTGGGGATGGGCAGGCCTCCTGACTGGTTGGCCCTCAGAGGTTGTGCTTTAATGAGAAAAAGAGAAATCCACAAGTATCTTGGAGCACCTGTGGGTTTAGACATCACTAGGCAACAAGAAGAAGAATTCTGCACACTCAAGGTATCTAAGACCCTTGGTGGTTGAAAAACGAAGTTGCTCTCGTTTGAGGTGCGCACTATACTTCTTCAGTTTGTACTTCAGGCGCAATCCATCTTCTACACCTTGCTGCTCAGACTTTTGACCTTTACTTACAGGAAGGTGGAACAATTGTACATGCACTTTCTTTGGGGATATAATCAGGAGGGCAAAGCTAAAGTGGCCTTGATCCGTTGGGATATTATTTGCAGACCCAAGCAGAAAGGAGGGTTGGATATTAGAAACCTTGCTAACACCAACGCCTCTCTGATGAAGAAGTGAGTGGGGATCATACTAGATGGAAACGCTTGTGCTTGGAGGAATGTGTTGACTGAAATTGTGACATGCTATAGTGTAAAACATCGCAAGAACATCATACGCAAGAATTACCGTCTACCTGACTTGCTCTTAATCTTCCAGCCGTTGCACTTGTTTGGTGCTGAAGTAGGAAATTCGATGTTCAAGTGTTGGAAGAATATCCAGCATGGTCCGAAGTGGTATCCTCAAGGTGTGCAGATCCCAGACTACCTAACGCTCAGAGATGTTGTTAACTTGGTTCTTAATAAACACTTTTTTGCTTCTCGCACCAAACAGGTCATGGTTGAACTTTGGAGACTTAGCCTGACTCAGGTGGAAGCTGTATGGCTTACAAGGCTCAATTGGAAGAAATCTTTGTTTCTGGACAGGAAAATGTGATCAAGAGACAACATGACTCCCATGCACATTTGTTTTTCCACAAGTTGTTCTCCTCCCTCGGGGTTGGCTATACTCCTCTACGTTTAAGTGCCGGATGGACTATGAGGGGCAAGCCAATTGCCGGTAATTTTACTGACATTGCAAGGTCCTGGTACAGGAAAAAGCAATACAAGATTCCTCTTTTCTTGCTTCCGATCAAAAAATGGGCCAAAAACAAATCAGTAGTTTAGTGGAAGGAGATATTTACCAAGCTTTGGACTAGTAGGAATGTAAACCGTGACAAGATGTTCATGTGGAGAGTTCTGCACTAGACCTTGTACACCAACGACCGGGCTTCCAAGATGGGATATGGAGAGAGCAAGTGCGCTAGAGGTTGCAACGAGGTGGAATCCGTTACCCACATCATGTTCGATTGTCCCTTTGCTATGCAGGTCTGGATGACTATTGCAGATTTGAAATGATAAACAATTGAAACGCAGAACATCTTCAGACATGCAACGTTGTTACTTGAACTCATCAAATTAGTTCCTCTACACCAAACTAGGAGACATGTTCCTGCTTAGTGGATGATTACAAGTGAGGAGTGCCGACATCTATGGTTGAGTAGAAATCAAGTTTTATTTTCACATGCAGTAGCACATGTGAATGTACATGTCATAGTCAGGAATGCAGCAGTTAAAGCAATTTCTCAACAGAAAAAATCTCCACATATACCTCCGCGTAGAGAATGGTTAGAAATTGCTAAAACTTTGCAGGGTGTGCTTACTTCTTCGATAACTACTAGAATCAAAAGATGGCTAAATTAATATCTAGAAAGTAATGCTTATTCAGAAGCAAGGTCAGAAGTGCTCCACACGAAGGGGGCAGCGACTAGACAAGATCCTTCTCTACCATCTTCTAAGAGAGTTGGAGACATGTGAATACTCTGATATGTCACAAATACAACTTCAACAACTACTCTGAGTTTGGGTTTGTGGACTTCCTCTCTAGAGGGTATTTTGCTGCTCCTTGTTTTTGTGTTCATGTTATGGGCCTCGAGCTACCGTGCGTGGAGATACGCAATGTCTTTCGTGATAGTAGTTTGCTGGTTGGCTTGCGCTTGCTCGAGGCGCTTGTCTCCTGCATGTTGTTCTTTGATGGTTGGCTGGTTCCGGGTTGGCTTGTATCTTGACTTTTTGCGCTCTTGGGCCTGAAAACATGAAGTCTTGCAGTAATCTGCAGTTTTCACCAAGATTGCAAGGGATGGATTAGTTGAACTTAATCCCAAGACATGAATCAAGAACCATCACCGAGGGTTAATCACCAAGACCGATGTTCATATAAAGTACTCACATAAGCTCATGTTTCCTCTGGCTTTTATGTTGCTTTTTAGGAGAGTTTGGCATAAGTAGTTACAACCTTTTAGGTAGTATGTTCTCTATTGTGATATGTTTGAGGACTAGCGCCAAAAGCATCAAAGATCAACCAAACACGTAGCACTTATTTGATCTCATTGCTTTGATTTGATAATATCTTCTCATTTTTTCTGTTATATTACTTGATGGCCCCACTTCTTAGATTTCTACTCTCTGTCGTCCAAACCAATCAACATACTACAAGCGCATCATATAACAGGACCCTAGAACAACCAGAAATTAAAGATGTCTAAAACTATCGATACTAAAAAAAGTGATAATCTTCTCACAAAGTATGATAGTTACTGGCACCATTCTTTCATGAAAATGTCAATTTTGACATCTATAAGTTAATGAAACTCCAACCACAGCAAAACGAGAGAGATAATTTTAATAAATAGCCCTCACTTTGGCCAACATTGGTTGCTTCAGATCCACTAAATTACTAAAAAAAATTATGAATTATCTCCCGATTTGAAACAACAATCATTGTGAGATATTATCATTTATAACAAAGTAACCTTATTCCAACAACAATCATAATTATGAATTGACAACTGAGTTAAAGGTTTAGGGTCACTAGGTTACATAGAAGTAGCAAAGTCATTTTAAAACCAGGCTAGTACTCAGATTAGATGGAAGGTGAAGGTGCAATGTAGATGAAGTTGCAGCAAATGGGAGTTGAGGCTGAGTGAGGTGTTCGAATGTTGCGGGCTCATTCGCCAAATCTTTCAAGGAGCGAGGTTCCGAGGTTGGGGATGCTGGCATGGTGTGCTGG